AAATACTCTTGGCACAGACGGACAGGGAATACATCGAATAGTTTAACTACAGAGTTCGAGTATACTGAGCACCTGGCATTGTCGAACTGTACAATTTTGCCAACTGAGGTTATTTAACTGAAGAGGAAACGGACTACCGGAAAACCTTTTGAAGCTGCTGGCCTCAAAAACCGCAAAGAATAGCACGAATCAAAAATGAATATTTTCAAATTTCGGCTTAGAACCAGGGTTGCTGTAACTAAGGGACAAACGCCAACATTTATTAGAAACGCCGTTGGGGGCAAATTAAAACCCAGACTGTTCGAGGAATTAAATGAATCAGCGTGCAATGTATGTTAGGTTGCTTGGAAGAATCATTAAGCTGCTTCACCTTCCTTTCTGAAGGCATTCGTGACACGTGCCCAAACTGTCGCAGCTCTGACTTCTCAATCTGAAAAAGAAGTATACACTAAGGCGCTCGCGGATGTCTGTACCATATCGAGACTATAAAACCAGCGACAAATCTAAATAGAAAAAACCCTTTTCAACTGCTCGTACCCGGGGTCCAAGTTTATCAGTCATGATCCATGACTCATAACCGTATGCAAGCATGGGAATGAACATCCGCTTGAACACTGAGAGCTTAGTCCTCAAACTCAGATCTACTTTAGTAACAACAACTCGGGCTACTTCACACAGAACATCGCTAGCACCTATAATCCGCCAGTCGATCTCATCCTCAAATTTTCCATCACCAGTAAACACGAACCTGAGGTACATGAACATCTCTACCTGCTCCACTGCCTCTCCGTAACTCTAAAGAGAGCGACGGGCAGGAGAACGAGAAAGCACTGGACTTTTCGCATCAGTAGCGTTCACAAGCATGACGACCACATCGCACTCGGCTGTGAACCTTTCCAAAGAGCGCTGTAGGTTAGTTTCAGAAGATGCCAGTAAAACACGGTCGTCTACAAACAGCAGCCTTCTCGTCTCGACATCATAAGCTGAAACTCTCATCTGACCGTTCTATCTACGTAAAACACAAACAGGAGAGGGGACAGAATGCAGCCATGGCACTGCCGGAGACCAGTGCCAACGTTGAAGGGTTTCGACTTAACGCTATTTCCTCTGACGCAGCACCTGGTACCCGTAACAGCTGGCCATCTACCTCGTATGCTCGCAGGCACGACCACAGACTGTTGCGTGGGATCCGGTCATAGGATTTTTCTACGTCAACAAAACACATACACCGAACGGGCGTACTCCTATGATTTCTCAACAATCTGGAGCAGGGCAAATATATGGTCAGAGGTGCTTCGACCGGGCCGGACGCCACACCGCTCTTCTCGTATCTTGAGGTCAGTTATTTCGCGGCACCTCCTTTCTAGCACCTTTGCGCTAACTTTTCCAGGGAGGCTCAGCAAGGTAATGCACCAATAATTGCAGCATTCCCTGTGGTCTCCCCTCTTGAACATGGATACGATAATGCCTCTTCTCCAGTCCGCTGGTGTCTTTCCCGGGTAGCTACTGCAGTTTAAGAAGCATGTACCAGCCGGCACACGCATTACACGCCTGATGCTTTGAGCATTTCAGAGTGGATTTCATTAATTCCAGCAACCTTTTCACTTTTCACGCCTTCCACACCTTGTGTAATTTCATCTACGGAGATAGTAATAACCATTCTATGGTGTTCTAAACGCGAGTCTTCTAGCGGTTGCTTG